AATTGGAAGTTGTCAAAAATGAAATGGAACGCATAAAGATTGATATCCTAGGCATTGTTGTTGTTGTTATGTGCCATCGAGTCGGACCCGACTCATAGCGACCCCTCTTTGGGTTGCCGAGGCAGTATCACTATGGAAGTAGATTGCCCAGCCTTTCTTCCGAGGATTGGCTGGTGGGTTTGAACCACCAGCCTTCTGGTTAGCAATCAAGTGCCTTAGGCACTATGCTACCAGAGCTCCTATCCTAGGCATTAGAGAGCTGAAATTGACTGGTTTAGCCATTATGAATCAGACCACCATGTGTAGTCTACTGTGCCAGGAATGACAATTTGAAGAAGAATGGCATGGCATTCATCATCACAAAGGATGTTTTAAGATCTGTCCTGAAGTACAGTGCTGTCAGCGATAGGATAATATCCATACACCTACAAGGATGACCAGGAGCTCTGGTAGCATAGTGCCTAAGGCTCTTGACTGCTAACCAGAAGCCTGGCGGTTCAAACCCACCAGCTGCTCCTCGGAAGGAAGGTTGGACAATCTACTTGCATAGTGATACTGCTTCGGAAACGCAGGGAAGGGTCGCTGTGAGTCAGGTCTGACTCGACAGCACATGACAACAACAACAAGGAAGACCAGTTAATATGACTATTATTCAAATTTTTGCCCCAACTACCAAAGCCAAAGGTGAGGAAATTGAAGATTTTTATCAGCTTCTGCAGTCTGAAATTGACCGAACATGCAATCAGGATGTGTTAATTATCACTGGTGACTGGAATGCAAAAGTTGGAAACAAAGAAGAATCACTGGTAGTTGGAAATTTTGGCCTTGGCAACAGAAATAATGCTGGAACTCACATGGTAGAGTTTTGCAAGACCAACGACTTGTTCATTGCAAACACCTTTTTCAACAACACAAATGGCAGCTGTACATGTGGACTTCATCAGATGGAATACACAGGAATCAGATTGACTACATCTGTGGTAAGAGGCGATGGAAAAGCTCAATATCTTGAGCCAAAACCAGGCCAGAAGCTGATTGTGGAACATGCCATCAACTGCTCATATGCAAGTTCAACTGGAAGTTAAAGACAGTTAAAACAAGTTCACAAGAGCCAAGATATGATCTTGAATAGATCCCTCCTCAATTTAGAGACTATTTAAAGAATAGATTTGATGCATTGAACACGAGTGACCAAAAACCAGAAGAATTGTGGGATGATATCAAGAACATCATCCATGAAGAAAGCAAGAGGTCACTAAAAAGATAAGAAAAAAACAAAATGGATGACAGAAGAGACTCTGAAACTTGCCCTTGAGTGGAGAGTAGCTAAAGCAAATGGAAGAAATGACAAGATAAAAGAGCTGAACAGAAGATTTCAAAGAGCAGCTCAAGCAGACAAAGCCAGTTACTATAATGAAATGTGCAAAGCTTTGGAGTTAGAAAACCAAAAGGGAAGAACACACTGGGCATTTCTCAAGCTGAAAGAGCTGAGGAAATAATTGAAGCCTTGAGTTGCAATATTGAAAGATTCTACGGGCAAAATATTGAATGATGCAGGAAACATCAAAAGAAGATGGAAGGAATATACAGAATCACTGTACCAAAAAGAACTGGTTGTTCTTTATCCATTTTAGGAGGTGGCATATGATTAAGAACTAGTGGTACTGAAGGAAGAAGTCAAAACTGCGCTGAAGGAATTGGCGAAGAACATGGCTCCAGGAATTGATGGAATACCCATTGAGATGTTTCAACAAACAGATCCCCCACTGGAGGCACTCAGTTGGTTATGCCAAGAGATTTAGAAGACAGCTACCTGGCCAACTGACTGGAAGAGATCCATATTTGTACCCATTTCAAAGAAAGGTGATCCCACAGAATGTGGAAATTACCAAACAATATCATTACTATCATACTATTATATTATTATGATAACATATTATTATCATGTAGATCATAAGATCTTACTGAAGATAATTCAAAAACAGTTGCAGCAGTATGTTGATCGAGAACTTCCAGAGGTGCAAGCTGGATTCAGAAGAGGACATGGAACAAGGAATATCATAGCTGCTGTCAGATGGATCCTGGCTCAAAGCAAAGAATTCCAGAAAGATGTTTACTTGTGTTTTATTGAATATGCAAAGGCATTTGATTGTGTAGATCATAAGGAATTGTGGATGACATTGAGAAGAATTGGAATTCCAGAACACTTGATTGTGCTCATGGAGAACCTGTACATTGATTGACCAGGAGGCTGTTTTTCAAACAGAACAAGGGGACCCCCCATGGTTTAAAATCAAGAGGGGAGTGTGTCAGGGTTGTATCCTTTCTCCATACTTATTCAGTCTGTATGCCAAACAAATAATCTGAGAAGCTGGACTATATGAAGAAAAACGTGGCATCAGGATTGGAGGAAGAATCATTAACAACCTGTGACACGCTGATGACACAACTTTGCTTACTGAAAGTGAGGATGACTTGAGGCACTAACTGATGAAGATTGAAGAATACAGTCTGCAGTATGCATTGCATCTCAATATAAAGAAAACAAAAATCCTTACAACTGGACCTATAAGCAGCATCATGATAAATGGAGAAAAGATTGAAGGTGTCAAAGACTTCACATTGCTTGGTTCTACAATTGACGCCAATGGAAGCAGCAGTCTGGTCATCAGGTAACGTATAGCACTGGGCAAATTGGCTGCAAGGGACCTCTTTCAAGTGCTGAGGAGCAAGGATGTCTCCTTGAGGACTAAGGTGTGCCTGACACAAGCCATGATATTTCCAATTGCCTTGTTTGCATGTGAGAACTGGACAATGAATAAGGAAGACCGAAGAAGAATTGACGCTTTTGAGTTGTGGTGCTGGCAAAGAATGCTGAAAGTACTGTGGACTGCTAAAAGAACTAACAGATCTCTCCTAGAGGAAGTGCAGCCGGAATGCTCCTTGGAATCAAGAATGGCCAGACTTTGTCTCACCTACTTTGGTCACATTGTCAGAAGGGACCATTCCCTGGAGAAGGATCATGCTTGGTAAGGTGGAGGGGTCCATGAAAGAGGGAAAGGCCCTCAACAAGGTGGATTGACACAGTGGCTGTGACAATGGGCTCAAGTATAGCAAGGATCATGGAGCTGGTGTGGGACTGGATGGTTGTTCGTTCTGCTGTGCATAGGGTCGCTATGAGTCGGACATGACTCAACGGCACCTAACAACAACAACAACATGGGTGACACCAGGTGGCAGTGTGTGTTCCTTTCCCCAGTTTAACTGAGCTTATGGCAGACCCAACTCCGGGCCAAATGTTCCCCAGAAGCCAAACCCAATGTCAGAAACAGCTCCTAGAGAGTACCATCTAGCATGAGGCACACGTCTAATGGTCTGCTCAAGAGGCAGAGTGGGCCCACATGCTGCCATGGCCAGCTCCCACCAGTGTCTCTGTGGGCTTCTAAGTTCTGGGTCGGGGATAGTCTGAGAGGATGCATTCAGCACCATTTCCTAACTAGGCTGAGATCCTGGGGCTTAGGACACTATGCCATGGGGCAGCCACACATGCCCAGTGTGCAAGACACCTTTGCCACACAGGCACTCTGACCCTGTATCTTGAGAACCAGAGTCCGACTACCACTGTTGCTCTTCACCCACCAGAAGATCACACTCTTGAAGAACTTACTCTTTCATTATCCACTACTGGCCTGCTGGTGGTGGCCTGCTTTTTCACACACAGAGTCTTGCCATGGAAACCTCAATAGATTACATCAGTCAAAGCCTCAGGATTGAGACCATGCTGCTGCTATGCCTGCCCTGGGAAAGGCCCAGGCCCACTGCATGGAGCCTTTTCCAGGTAGGACGTGAGGAAGCCAGGCTTAGAGCCATGGGCTTACCACACCAACCTGCATGGCAAGTTCTTTTGGGCCACTTACATGGACTGAGGCTAGGGGCCTGGAGATCCTGGGCCCATGGGGATCCTCTGTTCTATAGGGCATGACTGGTGTGGTGGCAAAATGTTAGGAAGTTGACCATCTATTCAGTATACATACATTAAAAAGGTCAGCCTTTGGGATGAACTCTCTAAATGAGATGGCTTTCTATATTCTATGAGAATTCCTGCCTGGAGAGGGCATGGAGGCACCCTGAGCCTGAGTGAGCAGAAGGTCATTAGACAGGAGGGTTGGATCGGCCTAGGAGGAACACAGAAGGAGTTGGGCACCCAGGCCCTTCCTCAGATTAGGTCTGGAAGCAAGGACTAAAGAAAAGTGGGGCCAAGGCGTTATTTTTGGTGCACATGACATTTCTTAACATTCATATTTTAAAAAGTAACATGAATAAAATATCAAGTCTCTAGGTCTGGAGGCTAAATTTATGCATTGGCCTGAGGAGCTCTGAGCAGATTCTCTTGCCCTTCCTGCTCTCCTTTTGGCCCTGTGTCCTGTGTGGCATTTCCACATACACTCAGCCTGGCAGCTCCACTAGGAGGGAGCCTGGTATAGCCACCTCAAAATGGGATCCCCTCCTTCCTGCTAAAGATGTGGAGTCATTTGTCAGTTTTTACCTTACCTTCTGGCCTGTGTCTCTCAGGAAGAACAGCACCTGGACTCTCAGAGGACGTGGTGCCACATGGATCCCCCTAGGACATGCAACTTGATTAATAAAGTTGGGCAGGATGGAAGGATTCAGTGGATGTGTGTATATCTAGGTCTGCTTACTCCATATTATAAGGGAGGAGTGAGACATTGAGACTCATCCTAGCTACTGCAGAACCCCAACCCCATGACTAACCCACAATAACCTCACCTGGCACATCAGATCAGATGAAAGCTGCTTGACTATACTCTTCCTAGCCCCTACAGCCAAAGCATGACATAGAGTTCATGGCTGTTTGGTGGCTTGGTTATGTCAGGCCTGGAGGTGGCTACAGCCTAAGCTTTGAGAGGAAGATCAGGTGTTTGAGGGGAAGATGTTCAGGTGGGACACTTGTGTCTGACTGGACTTCTCTCTGTCTCTAGCAGGGTGACCAGCAAGCCCAGGCCCACTGAGCTCAGCCGGATGAGTGCTGCACAGAGGCTTCAGCTCCTGTGAGTATGAGTCTGACCAGGCTGCCAAGTTCCTGGGCTACCTCACCTTACTCGCTTTCCCCAGGCCTCAGTGAGGGGTGTTCTTCCCACGCTTCCCCACCCTCTCATGACTCCACACTGGCTGCTCTGCTTGGTTTTCAAATATAACTCCAGGTATGGTGCATTACAGCCTGAAGCATCTGGCCAGCTGCCTTAGGAGGCTCCTGGGGAATTCTCACACTTCACCTTAGAGAAAGTGCCCCCTCTTCCCTTCCCTGCTCTTCTACTCTAGCCTAGTTGATTGTTACCCAGGACATTGTAGGCATGAAGTACATGAATATTTGGTTCTGTGACTGGAACCTTTACTGGCTGTACCTTGGTGCCCAGTTACAGAGTCAGCACCCATCAGCAGTCCTAGCCCTGGCTTCATTCCTTCTGCTGTCCTGAGCTTATCTTCTACGGGTTTGTCTGAAAAAAGGCCTGTAGGATCTTAACATGTTCAAAAACGTTTGTGGAGATTTGTACGCAAATGTCATCTTGGGTCACACTTAGGCTCTTTCTTAGACTGGGCTCAAGTTTTCATTGCAAGTGGAAAAATCTGAGTGACCCTGAGTTTTAAACTCTTGTGAGATAGCTCTTCATTTTGACTGCCCACAGGATTGTTTTTTTTTTTTTTGCTACTAAAGTAACTTGCAAGGATATTTCTTAGTATTGTATATACTATATCAGTTCTTACTAGGGCCTCTTGTACCCTTTCAGTTTTTAGACTCAAGTCTTTTTTTTAATAATTGTTTTTGGAAATTTGTACTAAATTATATCTTCAAATATTTCTTCTAAGCTATTATTTTGGCTCTTTAGGGATATCAGTTATTCATATGTTGGGTCTTTTGATCTGAATTATAATTCATTTTCACTATATATACTTTTTAGCCCTAAGTTTTTAATGTCTTTGTATAGATTTTGTGGTTATCTTTATTTCTACTCATGTCTTAATGAATTGAATTCTCCCTTCACCAGCTGTTTGAAGGAAATTTGTATATGGAAAGAGCCAAGCTATCAGAATTCTCTCAATGACCCAGGGTTGTGTGTGAGTGACATTTTTGTCCTCTCCTTCTTCCTGTGTCATGTATTGGTGCTTCCAGTACCTTGAGCTTATCTCTGTCTTCTTCTTCTGCATCTCCTACCCTCTGCCTCTCCTTGTTGCCCAGCCTGGTCCCTGGAGCTCCCATGGGGCACAGTGCACTTTCATGGTTCTGGATGGAGTGATAGTTTTACCCTTTGGCATACCATGTACCAATAGCTTCATCTGCAGTCTAGACTACAGGCCTCCCTTCTCCACAGCTCTGGTGACTGATGCTGTATTTGTGAAGAGTTAAGGGCTCATACGTCCTCTGCTTCATCAAAGATAGAGTTGATTTCTTGTTGCTTTTAAGCAATTTCTGAGAGGAGAAACAGGAAGCAGTGTGTATGCTCCTCCATTGTGTCACCAGAAGTCTTTGTCCATGTTCATACCCCTGGTGCCTAGCAGTACATGGCAAGGGCTCAGGCGTCTGAATGACCTAGATCCTCAGTTCAGCTTAGCAGTCGCCTTCCCTGAGAGCCCAGAAGGGGTAGTGTGTTGCATTCATCCTGCCGTGTTCCAGAGACTGGGTGCTCTCTGCCATGTCACCAGGACTGCCAGACCTTCTGGCCAAATCCCAGCTGAAGAAGATGAGCCTCCCAACCCTATCCTCTCTGCTGCTCAGGGCAGTGGGAGCTGGCTGCTTGGCTGAAGCCAGCCTGGCCATGATGCAGGTTTGCTCCAAGTGGATCAGAAAAGCCCACCCAATGGGAGGGGAGTCATTGCTGCTGCCAGTGTACAGAACCATGCTTATCAAAGCCTGGGGCTCTCTCCCAGCTGTTGTCTAGTGGCTCTGAGGTTCCTCATGAACACAGAGAAAATGGACCCAGTGTGATCTGGACTTGTACAAGGTCATTGCGCTCAGCTGGGGCCCTGTGACTTAAGCCAGAGCTGTCCCTGCCACAGTGGTAACCACAGGTCTGGTTGACTTGTCCTAGAGGCACCACCCAGAGTAGCTGCATTTGTCACTGGGCTCAGAGACTGTGTCTGGTCACCTCTGTCTCAATAGCACATAGGCCCCTCACTGGGGTCTCTGGATTATATTGTGTGATGTGGCAAATGCCCTTAGGTGGACACTGGGAAGCTGATGATGGCAGCAGGGCTCAGGGTGTGAGGCTCCTCACCAAACTCGAGCTCCTGCAGGAGGGAAAGCCCTGCAAGGCGTATCCATTGGGACCTCTCCCCTGCATTGCAGCCTGTATAAGCAGAGCCTAAGTTAGGGAGGAGGGAGTAAAGCTTCTGTGCCTTGTGGTAGCCAAGTCCTCCTATCCCTGCCCTTCCAACGTGGCTGCATATCCTTTGCACATTTATTCTTTGAGCTCTGTAGAGGGAGCTCCTTAAACAAGGCAGTGTGTCTCAGGAGGGCACCTGTCTGGTATACCCTGCATTATGAATCCAAAGCTCCCCCATAAACCCCAAGGGAGAAAAGGGACCCCAGGGGCTCTGCTCCACCAGGCCCAACAAGGCTGGCATTCGCATATCCTGCAGGGTTTGTACCATAGATGGCAGGATCTCACAGGCACATCTGCCTTCTTACCTCCTGTTGCTTCTTATCCTGTCCCCATCCAAGGTCATTGTTACTTCTAAGCCCTGTGACCTGCCCATTGCACCGACATAAGCTCCCTGGATGAAGATACTCTGTTCTGTCCCAAGGCAGTCCCAGGAACTCTTCCCCCCACCACCACCTTTTCCTCTACTCTGAAAAAGAAAGTAGATCTATGTCCTGGGGCTGTGTGGGCCCCCAGACATCCCCCAAGGGCTGGGGTTCCTGAGCTACTGCAGTATTAACCTTTGGGTCTTGATCTTTCAGTGAAGAAGAAAGGGCCCGGTTCCGGGAGCTACTGGCCAGCCCAACCTACCAAGCCAGCCCCCTGGAGGCCATTGGGCAGCGGCTGGCCCACCAAATGCAGCTGGAAGACAGTGGTGGTGGTGGCCAGCTCTGATGGCCCAAGCCCCTTGGACACAGTACTCCAAGGAGCCCAGTGAGGGCCAGACACCAGCCAACTGTGGCGGTCAGTGTCCTGCAGCTGGAGACACCCTTCCCTATTATTTTATTTTCTTTCTGGGACATTAGGGAGGATGATGGTGGGTGTGAGGGTCAAGGAATAAAGTGCTTCTGGCCTAAGCAGTGGATGACTCCTTACTGCACACCCCAGGGCTGCTGCCCCACTGCTCCCCTGGAACAGCCTCCAGCCCACCCCTGGCAAATGAGGCCCCTGCCAACTAGTGCCCCAGCTGAGCACCCTCATTACTGGTGCTGGCTCACAGCCCCCTACCCAATGAATGTTGGAAGAATGCTGGGCCATTCTTAGCTGAGGCTGTATGCTACCTCATGCTCCTATCATTTTAGCGAGTGTGCCAGTATTTGCTGTTACAGCCCTGGGGACTCAGGGCTGGTGGTTGGGCTGCAGACTGACTAGCTGAGGGTGTGAGGAGAGGCTGGATGTCCCTGGGCCCCTGAGGCTGGCCAGACCCTCCCCCAGCTCTGTCCTTGCATCTCACTGAATTTTGGTCTCAGGAGGGAGGTGCCTGGCCTTTCTGGCCACATCCTTTTGGAGGTGTTCAGGGGCCAGGGCTCCCTATAGCAGTAGCTGTGGCCCTGTGGGGGATCATCAGTGGGTGACCAAGATGATACTAGGCATAAGTACCCCACCCCAACCCTCAGAGGTTTTCACCTGGATCAGTAGAGTTGGGGCCACCTCAGACAGGTGTTCTGCAGGTAGATGAGTCAGCTCTGGCCTCCCCTCCACCCCTGCCTGCTTCACATACTCCCACCTACTTCACATAGCCCCCCTCCCACACACAGGTGTGGGTCACATGCATGGATAGGGATACAGAGGAAGCTGCTGAATTGGAGCCTGGCCCCATCCCAGTCAGCTTTCCCAGCCCAGTCCCTGGACAAGAGCAGACAGCATTGGCAGAAAGGCAGACATCTCAGACAGGACTTGACAGAGAGCAGGCCCTAGTGCCTGGGTCCCTTGGTCAGAGGTGGGCACCATGTTCGCTTGAATGAGAGAGCAGATCACAAAGCAGTATGTGTGACAAACCCTCCTTCACAAAATACAGTTTTGAAAAACAGTATGGAAGGATGTACATACATCATAGCACTAACAGTGGGTGCTGGGACTATGGGGTAGGGGTCCTTTCTTTGTTATATTTTTCTATGGGGTCTGGATTTTTTACAGTGTGTGTGTATTTATATATTTTTCAGAGGAAAACCCTGCAGCTTCCTGGTCTGACTGGAGACTGGTGTGTCCTCCATCATGCTCACTGCGTTGCCCCGCCCCTACTCTTATCCCTCACTATCTGGTAGCACCCTCTGCCCAGGCCTCCGGCAGGAGCCAGCACCAGGGCCTTGCCTTGGGATCTGACCCAGGAAAGCAGATGGTGGTTGCATGTGGACAGCAGACCAGAAAGGGTATGGAGTAGCTTGAAAAGGAAGGCTGGGGGACTGCATTGGGAAGAGTCCCATAGGCTGAAACAGATCTCATACTGTCAAAGATGTTGCCTGACAAGCCACCCACATTGGGGGATGCCTTCAGTACCCTTCAAAGTGCAAAGCATCAGGGCTGATGTCCAGCAGTTGCACAGTGGTAGTGACCCAGGGACCATGGTGTTGTGCTGTAAGTGGGTCTCAGCGTGTGCATTCATTCTTAAGATGTTATGGAACACCTGCTGCAGCCCTACCAGGAGCAGCCTATTCCCATTCTGCCCAAAAAGAGCAAAACCTATGTGTCCTCTGCGTGGGGACACTGCCTGGGGTGGTGCCCACAGCTCAGGATCTGTTAATTGCAGGGTACTCTGTTTCTGTACATGGGTGTTTCCCGTGTTTTCAGTCTTGGTAACACAGATATAGGTGGTGGAGTTAGTAGCCATTGAGTTGATTCTGAAATCAAGTAAAGAAATGACACAATTCACTGGTTTCTGTGCTTTTTAAATTCTGGAGCCATCGGTCCCTTTTTCTGATCTGAAGGTAAACAGCCAGCAAAAGTCTCTTGTGCCCTGGAGGCCAGTACAGGGCCTGGCTCCCTGCCATCCTGAGCCCTGCAGGGGGCCCTTGCAGGAGATCTGGTCTAGGTCAAGACAGCACCCTCAGCACAGAGGCGGAGACAGATGCCCTGGTGCTGCTGTACTGTTGGCCCACAGCAGGGCAGAGTTCCAGGTCTTGATATTCCATGGGTCATGTTTCCAGCCCATGTTTCTTGAGCATCCACTGAGCACACGGCCCTTGGGACTTAATCCCTATAAACCCTTGTCACCAGGTAGCACCTGGCCAGGGAAAACCTATAGGCCAGTGGAATGGAGAGTGGGCAGAGGGAAGCAGGAGACATCCAGGGCTTCCTATGTCCCCTGGCTGGACCTGGCACTGGTGGTCCCCTCTCCTTGCCCCAGACTTTCTCTGTCCTTGAGCAGGACCCGTCTCTGCCTTTAGGCTGTGCTAAGTGCATGTGAACACCCAGGCTGATCTGCAAGCTCTTTGGTGAGGGGCCCAGGGAACACCACCTCCCGCAGAATTACCCAGACTTCTGAAGTCCCTTCTGCCTAACTTGAACCCATATTACAGTAGTGTATGGGACCTGCCTTTCTCCAGGCCCCTGTCCCTCCTGTCTCCCCAGCCACAGGTCCCCCTTCCCCCTCAGGCACTCCTTGCATTGTCACCTGCCCTGAACAACACCTGTGAATGTTTTGTGGTGCCCCCATGCTGTGCCTCATGAGGCAGCTCTCCAGACCCCAGGCTGTTCTTTGAAGGATGGCAGCCTTGGCTGGCATGAGTTGCTCTCTTCACCATGCATCCTATGTGCACATTCATGGCAGGCCGGGGCTTCAGTGGGCTTCACTGTGCTCACAGCCCATGGCCAGGAGAGTTCCCATGTCCCAGGCTAGGCTGGGGAGTACTGCAGACCTGGTGAGTATGGCCCTGGGTGGGGCCATCACTGCATTCCACCCACATGGAAGCTCTAGTTTGGAGGGGAGGGGTGACTGAAAAGGGTTTCAAGGGTTTCCTAGGTTGGTTGGTCCCTGTACCTCCTACATTGTTGTTGTTGTTGTTGTTGTTATGTGCTGTCGAGTCAAACCCGACTCATAGCGACCCCTCCTTGGGTTTCCGAGGCAGTATCACTACGGAAGTAGGATTGCCCAACCTTCCTTCCGAGGAGTGGCTGGTGGGTTTGAACCGCCAGCCATCTGGTTAGCAGGCAAGTGTCTTAGCCACTGTGCTACCAGAGCTCCCACCTCCTACATTACATCATAGTATGTCAGGGATACTAATTACTAACAAGACCCTGGCCAGGGTGAGGCAAGAGTGGCACCTATTCTGGGGGCCAACCCTGTGTTTTGGTTACCTCTAGTGCTGCTCTAACAGAAATACCACAGGTGGAATGGCTTTAATAAACAGAGCTTTATTTTCTTACACTTTTGGAGCCTAGAAATCTGAGATCAAAGTGCCAGGCTCTAGGGGCTGGGTGAAAGCCTTGACCTTGTGCTTCAGCTCTGCCTCCTGCTCCTGGCCTACTGAGGCTGACAAACCCAAGGTCAACAAGTAAAAAGGCACAGTCCCAATATTACCAAGCAACATGGCAGGCCATTGATTCAAGTCCATTAACAGTGCCCAAATTGGCAGGCTGTTGAACAATGACTTGGCTACATGCAGGATTCAAGTATGCCAAAAACTACAGCCCATTCCTAAAGCTGCTGCTTCTTCCTTTTTTTTTAATGCATTTTATTGAAATATAATTTATGTACAGTGAAATACACAAAACTGAAGTGACATGGATCAATGCATTTTTTTTTGCAGTGTTCCCTTCCCTCTCCTCCCACCTCTGACAACCAACAAAGAAAGTTTTCCTCCATATATGAACCTTTACCTGACCCTCCACAATGAACTACTACTGTATTTGTCTTTCTGTGATTGACTTATTTCACTCAGTATAATGTCCTCCAAGTTCATCCATATTATGTTGTGTTTTGCAGGCTCTACATTATTCTTTAGTGCTGCATAGCATTCCATTATGTGTACTATAGTCTGGTCATCCACTCATCTGCTGATGGGCATGTAGATTGTTTCCATCTTATTGCTGTTGTAAATAGTGCTGTGATGAACATGAGCGTGCATGTATCTGTTCCTATCCTGGCTCTCACCTATCTAGGATATATACCTAGTAATGGGATTGCTGGGTCAAATGGTATCTCCAATTCCAGCTTTCTAAGGAATTGCCATATTGCTTTCCATAGTGGTTATGTCACTTCACAGTCACATAAGCAGTGTTTGAGAGTCCCAATCTCCACATCCCCACCAGCATTTGTTATTTTCTGTCTCATTGAACCTTGCCATCAGTGCTGGGGTGAGACAGTATATCTCATTGTTTTGATTTACTCTCTCTGATGGCCAATGATTATGAGCATCTTTTCATGTATTAGCTGCCCACCTGAATATCCTCCTTGGTGAAATGTCTATTCTGCCCATTTTTCAATTGGATTGTTAATTCCTTTGGTGTTGAGGCATTGGAGTTTTCCATCAAGTCCCTTGTCTAATACGTAATTATCAGCAAATATAAAATGGTTGCTGTCATTTTTGTCATGTGCTTTTTCATTGTTTCGATTTCTTTGTTCCATATAATTTTCTACGCTGAGCTTGTTTTGTTTCTGAATCATACTATCACTTCCTTCATTGCTATTGTTTTAGTATTTGCTGAATATTTATGCTGGTCCTCTTTTTTTTGATGTGAAGGTTTATCTTTTTTCTTTGAGGTTACCCTGTGATTTATAGTTTTCTTCCCAAGTTTAGAACAGTCCATTCTATTTTGTA